GTCTGGTTCCAGTTAACAATTTTACACAATTCCTATTCCAGCACTGTCTCATAAATCTCAATACAAGACCACTTAAAATACGGACATCATATATTCATATGTATGGTTCAAATGCATGTTTGAGATAATTTTTATGAGATCGAATATTTTATCTCAATACAAGAACATCTTATAGGACTCCGTACTAAATGCAAGTTACTCATAATAAGCTACTCCGTAATATTTTGTAATTATACTAAATCTTCAGATCAAGATGTAGCTATAACTGTAACATAATTAATGTAAAAAGATGTTACTATAATCAATATGAAAACTGTAAATTAGTAAATCTCAAAGACATTTTCATAATAAGATATATGTAGTGCTGGACTCGGTTCGGGCCGGGCCCGGTTCGGGCCTTGAACCGGCCGGGCCTCGGTTCACCAAAAGGAGGGCCCGGGCCCGAACCGGCAGGTGACCGGTTCCGGGCCGGTTCCGGGCCAGACCGGGCCGGTTCCGGGCCGGTTCACCCGCCCCCTTTTTTTTATTTTTTTATTTTTTGGCTTCTCTTATTTAACCCCCTACCCCTCCCCCTCAACCCCAAACCACCCCAAACCACCTCAAATGGCCCAAAATACCTAATCCAACCCAAAAATTAAAAAAATTTCAAAAAAAAAATTAAAAAAAAAATTATTCCGGCCCGGACCGGGCCCGAACCGGCCGGGCCGGTTCACCAAATATAGGGCCCGGGCCCGGAACCGGTATCCACCGGGCCGGTTCGGCCCGAACCGCCGGTGGACCGGGCCACCGGGCCGGGCCGGTTCACACAGTAACCGGGCCGGGCCGATTCCGGTTCGGGCCGCCCGGCCCGAGTCCAGCACTAGATATATGTGTATCTCTCACTTACACGTACAATTAATAACGATACAAGAATATATATATATATATAAAGTAACAGGTAAAGGGATATAGGTCTTGGTTCAAATAAGAACACGATCTTATGAGAGAAATGAGAACGAATCTGGACCGTTAGATTTGCTTCAAGTGAAATTCAGTGTGCATTAGATGAAACTGTATTATGCATTAGATTAAATTGAAATGTGCATCACAAAGAGTACGATAGAGTGACATTATGTGCAATTGAATTGTGCACTACGTGAGATTGAAATGTGCACTAGGTGAAGCTGAAATGTGCAGAATAAAAAGTACGATGTAATGTTATATAACGGAAAAGGTCGAACTTCATCAATACGAAAGCACTGAATTGAAGGCTGTCAATTAAATTTGTGTAGCGTGAAAACCTAGCTACACTTGCCCGCCCGCCGCGTTAGATTTTTCTGGTTTCTCCTCCCCACTCAGGCAGTTAATGACACACACCAACAACCCTAATGCAGGTATCAATGATATAACACATACACCCAGAACAGTCATGGTCTGGTTTTCAGCATTGCAGGCTGAGATGTGCAGGAAAACAAACAGAAATAAAGTCAAGTAGTAGTATTTCCTCATTTTGGATCGATAGATAATCGGTATATAGCATGGAAATTAATTATCTGATCTATAGGTTCATATCACGTACCATTTATATATATAGCTAGCAGAGCAACTAACACACGCCGCATCATGTACCTAGTATATAAATAATTACGGAGTATAATAAACAAATAATGATGATGATTTAAATAAAGTTACGTACGCAGTGACCTAGCTTTGTATAGCTTTGACATGGCTTTTTGAAGCTATTTGCCAAAATTCATAGAAGATTTGGCAAATCCGTGCCAACTGCATTTTGTTATGATCCAGGTGTTTGACACGAAATTATCGATCAATTCATGTCAAATCTGTGTCAATCTCATAGCTTTTTTTTTGTAGTGTATGCATATACTCGTCGTTTTAAATGAATGAATGAATGAAACTTTAATTTGTTAACTGTTAATTATACTACGTATATTCAAATGTTACAATTTACTCGAATAACACTGAAGTAATTTAATATTGTACTGTTTTAGTATATACCCCATATATATTATTGAAATTGAAATGTTAATTTTATACTCCGTATTTGATTTTGTACATAAGTATAAGTTCTTACATAGGACGGAGTATTAATAGTTAAACACCGACTTGAAAATTTGTGAAAGTCATACCATGAACTTAATTAGTGTGGTATATATAGATTATCACATACACACCATTAGTGATACGTCGCGTGAATACAACTGTATACTCGATATAAAGAGCGCTAGTATTATTAAGTATGATTTAAAATCATAATCCTTTCCATGAAAATATATGAATATATCTAGAGCATTGGATTTAGGATGTAAGAGCATCTCTAATGGTTCCTCCCAAGGACTTGCTTGCAATTTCTAAAAATATTCAAGCTAGTAGCCTACCATTGGAGTGCATATTTCCTTCTAGCTTGGACAAGCAAATTAGCCAATACGTACAAGCTAATTGCTAGAGAGAAGAGAAGTTTGAACTAAAAGGGTAATTACAAAATGTATTTAATCTATTGGATAATTGATATACTACCTCCGTCCCGCACTCCCGCTGAGTCCCGCTTAAAGGTTTTCATTATAAAATGACTCAATTATTTTGACAATTATCAATAAAAATATTCGAGTATACTCTGAAAAATAATATTGATGAGTATATAATATAATGGGGTCATTGATGATAACTGTGATGTTAGAAAAGTATTATTTTTAATATTTGATTATTAAATTTTCATTTAATAGTGTTAATTATTTTTTAAATAAAAATGATCATCTTTATATGGAACGTCCAAAAAAGAAAGTGGAAACGTTTGAATAAGACGGAGGGATCACAATACTAAATTAATTAAAAATCTAATAGTAAAGTAAAGAACTGCAATACAATTATCAAGCCCCAAAAGTGGTTTTTATTTCTTTTGAATTGATATTGTTTGATTAATTATATTTATTTTATTTAATGTTTTTGATTTGTTAATTTTTAGAAATCTTTAATTTTCTCATAAAGTATGTAAAGTTGATATTTTTCAGTATGCATGTGTTGTCAAAGTTTCCTATTTCAAAATTTTTTAACTTACAAACATACATTTTTGATATTAATTTTAAAAATATGTATTTTCATATTATCCCTAGCACTGATAACTAATGGGTTTAAAAATATTATTAACATTTTCCCAATTTAATACGAGTAGTATTTAAGAATAAGTATTATTTTATTGAATTAATAAATCAATTCGTTCAAAATGTGTATTTTAAAAATTGATTGATTGGTCATTTGTGGAGTCTACCCAAAAGGGAAACATTGTAGCTAACCATTGGAACATCACGTTGCTGGAAAATGTATTAGCCAGAAAAGACTGATGTGGCAAGCAAAGCTGCACCATGTATAGCTAGTCCAATTTTTGTAGAGAAGAAAACTTCTCAATGCAATAGTGCAGCGATGCTCAAAAGTAGGGCTGGCAACGGGGCGGTTCGGGGACGGTTTTACATATAACCGTACCCGCCCCATTTGATAATTCCCCGCCCATAACCGCCCCATTACCCAACGGGTAATTTTTCCCCAAACCGTATCCGTCCCAACGGGTAACGGGTATAACCACGGGTAACCGCAGGTAATCGCTTTATTAAATGAGTGATTGATATTTTAACATAAAAATAATATTTTAAAAGGCAAAAAATGGCATCACCTAGATGACTCTAGACTGAGACGCCACTTTAAAGTTTCGTATATCTACAAGACTACAAGACGAGAAAGAAGACAACATAAATTAATTTGAACCTAAAAATACTTAATCTGAAAAATAATTATTCACTAAAAAATCTGATAATAATCAAACAAGACTATTAAGATCTATTATGAAATCTCATTGAACATTATAGTTAGTACATCTATTATCCATATACTTAATTAAAATAGAAAAAAATCTCATCTTCATTTACTTATGGGACAAATAATAGATAAAAATGTAATAAAAATATAACTAAAATAAACGGGGCGGGTACGGGGCGGGTAATGGGGCGGGCATGTATAAAACCGTAACCGCCCCGTTACCCGTAAAAACAAAACAGGTATTCCCCGCCCCATACCCGTTACCCGGTCAATGCGGTTTTCCCCGTTTTGACCGGGGCGGTTCGGTTCGGAAATCCATTCGATCGGTCACAATTGCCATCTCTACTCAAAAGTAGAGACGTTCACATTTTATATTTTCAAATTAGTTCTTATTGAAACTAAATCCTATTATTATATATACATACATTACATTACATATCATTAATATCGTGACGATTGCGTTTAGGTATAACTCCCGTATATTACTCATCAACAGCTTTCATTAAAGATATACTCATGTTACTTTATGACTATTATATTTCGTTCATTTCTTTTTCTTTAGAAAAGTGTGACACTTTGGCAATCAATGTAATCAATGGAAATCAATATTAGTCGATGTAATCTATGTATCTATATTATTACTCTATACCTTTTTTTCTTGTTACTGCCTATTTATTATTGTGGTTTCTCTAATACAAAAATATAGTCTAAGAGTAATTCTACTTATTTGTGATTCAAAAAAGATCTAATTATTTCAATCATGTGTTTTATTTTTTGTTTCGTTTGTTGGCTGGTTAAAAGTAAGGGCGAGTTTGATTCAAACGGTTCGGTTTTAACCACCTAAAACCAAAAGTAAATATTTACATTCGATTTGATCTACCAAAATCTAAAATGGTTTGTTTGGTTTTGGTTTTTTCGGTTTTATCTGAATTTATGCATTTGGTACAGTAAATGGAAAGCATTCAAGATTGCAACACTTTCTGGCTTGGCTGAGCCCCTGGGTGTTAAAATTGTAGGTTTGTTCCCAGCTCTGACCGAACTTGTATATCAAACAAATAATGCTCAATATTTTATATTATTAGATTGATTGGGCTTTACTATTTGTATAATTAGTATAGGTGGGCCAAGGGCTCTTGTTTGGTAGCATAACACGTGTATATATATTCTACTCCACTAATTGTACAGGCAGGAGAATAATTTCCAATCAATATTATTATTTGCTTCCTTATTTTAGATGGTATCAGAGCAGCGGTAGATTGGCGTCGTGGTCTTCGGAAGAACTTCGCAGACAGCACCAGCGTGCGAGAAGCGGAGCTACACCATGGCCGACCCAACTTCCGTATATTATTTGGGACCCGGCGATCAACCCGGTAACCAAATTACTCATGTCATATTCAAAGGGGACAATTTCGTGGCGTGGTCTCGGGCTATCTCTTTGGGTCTCAAGGCACGCCGGAAATATGTGTTCATTGACGGAACAGAAAAAAAACCGACTGAAGCGGCGCAGCTTTCCAACTGGGAGACAGTGAACTCTATGGTTGTCTCGTGGCTGCTACGGTGTATGGATCCGGCACTAGCGGCTTCCATTCCGTTTCATGACGAAGCACGCTCATTGTGGTTATACCTGGAGAACAGGTTTAGTGTTGCCAACGGCCCACGATTGCAGCAACTTCGGTCTGCCATCACAAGCTGCCGGCAATCGAAGGGAATGAAGGTGGATGATTATTACACCAAATTGATGAGCTATTTTGATGAATTGAACAGGTTAAAGCCATTGCATGCGTGTTCTTGCGGGCTCTGTACATGCGGGCTGGCTGCAAAATTCGCGGCAGATCGCGAAGAAGAAAAATTGCATCAGTTTATGATCGGTATTGATGACGAAATTTACGGGACAGTCCGGTCCAACTTGCTGTCCCACACTCCAATGCCAGACCTGAATCGAGCTTACCAAGCTTTTATACAGGAGGAAAACTCAAGGGCAGCAACTCGCGGAAAGGCAGTTGAAATTGATGGCCAAGCTTTCGCACTTCATCTCGATCGGCAATCCAAAGGGAAGCACGAAAAGCCGGACCGAACCAAATTGCTTTGCACTCACTGCAAGAAGAAAGGACATGACGTGGGTTCATGCTTCAAGCTGCTGGGCTATCCAGATTGGTGGGAGGATCGGAACCGGTCAAATGGCGGGACTATTGGCCGTGGAGGTGGGGTCAAGACGCATGCTGTTACCGCAACAGGTGAAGGCTCAACTTCTACGACTGATGCCAAGGGACTGTCCCAGTTGAGTCAGGAGCAGGTTCATGCTTTGCTGAACTTACTCAATAATGAAACTCGTTCATCCGATCGCATGGCAGGTAAATTTGATTGGATTATTGACACAGGGGCGTCTCATCACGTCACAGGTGATATTGATTGTTTGACTAATACGACTCATATATGTGCACGTCTGGTGGGTCTGCCAGACGGACGAACAGTCGAGGCTGTATTGGAGGGTCGTGTTTCTTTTTCTGAACAACTTGGTTTGGAACACGTCCTTTATGTGCCTGGATTGCAATGTCATTTAATTTCAGTTTCACAATTAATTGATCAGACCGGTTGTTTAGTGACTTTCACTGATTCGTTTTGTGCTATACAGGACCGTCCCTCGAGGAGCCTGATTGGAGCAGGTGAGCGACGAGATGGGCTTTACTATTTCCGGAAAGTACCTGCTTTGCATGCTATTCACACGTCAGATTTGCCTGCGTTCGAACTGTGGCACCGACGTTTGGGGCACCCGTCTGACCGCGTGATTAAATTATTGCCTGATATTTCTAGTAGTTCTTCTGTCAAACGTTTGAATAAGCCTTGTGAGGTTTGTCCACAAGCTAAACAAGTGCGTGATTTCTTCCCTATTAGTGACAATAAAGCAAGTAGAATTTTGGAACTTATTCATTGTGATTTATGGGGTCCTTATAAAACCCCTTCTACTTGTGACGCTATTTATTTTATGACTTTGGTTGATGATTATTCCCGAGCTGTATGGGTTTATTTGCTGCGTGACAAGACAGAAGTGTATCGTTCCTTTCTTTCCTTTATTGCCATGATTGAAAAACAATTTGAAGTGTCCGTTAAAATTGTGCGCAGTGATAATGGCACAGAATTTAAATGTTTGCTGCCATATTTTGAGAACCGTGGAATTTTGTTTCAGACATCTTGCGTACATACCCCTCAACAAAATGGCCGGGTAGAGCGTAAGCATCGTCACATATTGAACGTGGCTCGCGCACTAATGTTTCAGGCAGATATTCCAATTTTGTTATGGGGAGAATGTGTACTTACAGCGGTACATCTGATTAATCGTACCCCCTCGGGATTGTTAGCCGGCAAAACACCCTATGAGGTGCTTACGGGCAAAGCACCTACTTTTCATCAGCTACGGGTGTTTGGGTGTTTAGCTTTTGCTCGCAATACAAAGACGGGTGGTGATAAATTTTCTCCACGTAGCCGGAAGTGTGTATTTATTGGATATCCTAATGGTAAAAAAGGATGGAAAATGTTTGATTGTGATACGGGGGACATTTTTGTATCGCGTGATGTGCAGTTTCATGAAGACGTCTTTCCCTTCTCGGAAGCTCCTAAGACTGCTGCTTCAGACATGGGTCCCACTGTACCCATGATTCTCGATACTGACACTGTTGTTCCAATGCAAACTAATGATGAGCCATCCGCAGCTTCAGGAACTAATTCTGTCGAGACTCCTTCTGATAATCTTACTCTCGGTCGTGGCATGCGAGCTAAGCGTCCATCAGTACTGCTTCGCGATTATGTTGCTCACTTAAGCCCATCTCTGTCCTCGCCCTCCGTCAGCTCTTCAGGTACGCGGTATCCTATTAGTAAATACGTTTCATGTGATAAGTACTCCGCACATCACCGCATGTTTCTTGGAGCTCTTCTTGCAGGACAGGAACCCCGGTCCTTTAGGGAAGCTATGACTGATGATGGATGGCGCTCAGCTATGAAAGCTGAAATACAAGCACTTGAAAATAATCACACATGGGAAATGGTGCCTCTTCCCCATGATAAAAAGGCACTCGGATGCCGCTGGGTATATAAAATTAAATATAAATCTGATGGGACGGTTGAACGTCTCAAAGCACGTTTGGTTGTCTTCGGCAATCATCAGGAGGAAGGTATTGACTATACTGAAACTTTTGCTCCTGTCGCCAAAATGGTGACGGTACGATTACTTCTAGCTGTTGCTGCAGCCCGAAACTGGGAGTTACATCAGATGGATGTTCATAATGCCTTCCTCCATGGTGATCTGGCAGAGGAAGTTTACATGCGCCCCCCTCCGGGCTTTTCTCCATCTCGGCCTGGCTTAGTATGTCGTTTGCGCAAATCACTGTATGGTCTACGCCAGGCTCCGCGATGTTGGTTTGCTAAACTGACCACTGCGCTGAAACAATACGGGTTTCTACAGTCTTACTCAGACTATTCTTTATTTACTTTGCGACAGGATGACGTGCAAATGCACGTGCTTATATATGTGGATGATCTGATTATTGCTGGGAACAATTCAGCAGCTTTGTCTCGTTTTAAATCTTATTTGCACTCATGCTTTCATATGAAAGACCTTGGTGTTCTTAAATATTTTCTTGGCATTGAAGTTGCACAGGGCGCTGATGGGATTTTTCTTTGTCAGCGCAAGTACATTTTGGATATTATTTCTGAAGCAGGTCTTCTTGGGGCTAAACCTTCTTCTTTTCCCATGGAGCAAAATCATTCATTAGGCCTTGCTACGGGTGATTTATTAGCTGAACCAGCATCCTATCGACGTCTTGTTGGTCGTTTAATCTACTTGTCCTTTACTAGGCCGGATCTGGCCTATTCAGTACATATTCTATCTCAATTTATGCAGGCTCCGAGACGAGAACACTGGAACGCAGCCCTTCGAGTGGTTAGGTATCTCAAAGGCTCTCCTGGACAAGGCATTCTTTTGAGCTCCTCATCTGATTTGACTCTCTCGGGGTGGTGTGATTCAGATTGGGCTAGCTGCCCGCTTACTAGACGTTCGCTAACCGGATGGTTGATTTTTCTTGGAGATTCTCCGGTTTCCTGGAAGACCAAGAAACAGCATACTGTGTCTCGGTCTTCCACTGAAGCTGAATACCGCTCTATGGCAGCTATCACTGCAGAATTGAAGTGGGTGAAAAGTCTCCTCTTTACTCTCGGCATTGCTCATCCGAATTCTATTCCCTTATATTGTGACAGTCGCTCAGCTCTTCATATTGCTCACAATCCTGTCTTTCATGAACGTACCAAGCACATAGAGGTGGATTGTCACTATGTTCGTGATGCACTACAAGAGGGAATGATCACCGCACAACATGTGTCTACCATTAATCAGTTAGCTGATATTTTTACGAAGGCTCTTGGACAACGGCAGTTTAGCTATTTATTGCGCAAGTTGGGCATGTTTGATCCCCATGCTCCAACTTGAGGGGGGGTATTAGATTGATTGGGCTTTACTATTTGTATAATTAGTATAGGTGGGCCAAGGGCTCTTGTTTGGTAGCATAACACGTGTATATATATTCTACTCCACTAATTGTACAGGCAGGAGAATAATTTCCAATCAATATTATTATTTGCTTCCTTATTTTAGATATATTTTCTTTTACCCCCCTGGGGGGATGAAGCAGCATTATGATTTCAACTTTATTTACACATTATTCAAAACCTAGCCTACATATTTCCAAGAAGCTTAAGTCCTGAAGTTTTGGAGGGCCTCCTTGGATCAGGTTCAATTCATTGTCCTCTTTGTTTCTGCTGTAAAGATAATTCATAACTCATAACTTAAACCACTAGCTAAAAAAACATTATCTGTTTTTTTGTGCCCCCCAACTTTGTAACTGGCTACACCCCAATGGCCCAACACTTGAATGTATATGCTCTCAATCCTCAGTTGAAAGATACAAAGCATATTTCCATGATAGGTGCTTGCATTAAGGTCAGATGAGACAGCTATTGTGGACTTGTTCACTTAGGCTCTGGTAGTCTTATTCTGCTTCTTAAGCTTATGAGCAGAGTTTTTAGCTTTTGATTTTACTTATTTGGATGAAATAGTGTATCTGGGGGCTGGGGCAGATGCCTCCTAAAGAGTTTGCCAAACACCTTTTCCTTAAGAAAATTCAATATATTAGGTAACTCCGGTGGAAGAACACTTCCAAGCGGATACACTAGTTCAACCTTTTTCATAATCTTCTTTTCGATATTTCATAATGAGTGTTTTAAAATTTTAATCATCTGAAAGATTTAAACACGTGTTTACTTGATTACAGTTAACTTTCTTTTTCCATACTTGATTACACAGTTAACTATTCAACCGTTTTATAGCAATTATATTTGTATTTCATAATTGTCCAATGGCTTATTGAGCTCAATTGCAATTCAGCATTTGCTAGTTTATGCATCCTTATTAAACACACATACATACACTCATCACACAGTTGTCCAATGGCTTGTTTTACTCAATTCTGCACACAAGAACTTATAACAATTAGACCATATCTAAGCTCATCGTTATTACAGGCTTTACAGTGTAGATGAAAATTAATAAGAAGGTTCAAATTGAAATGTCAACTAAAAAAACTTGCCAAAAAGGAAATGAGAATATATACTTGGAAGTTGGGACTATCAATTTTTATGATCAACTAGCTTCTAGCTCTAGTAGGAAAGCTTAAACAGGGTAAATCCACGACCACCATGTTAATGTTATCACGGCTTCCTTTTTCGAAAGTACGTAGAGCCAGGTATTCAGTCCTAGTGGCCTTGGGGTTAGGATTTACTTCTCTATAAATACAAGTTCTCTCCCTTGTAATCATGGTGTGTGGATCCGAAAATAGCAATAATATTCCTGGCTTGGTAGCGCCCCCAGACATAGTCATTCGTGGCGAACTGGGTTACCAAATCTCGTGTGTTCTTCGTTATTGTTTTTTCGTGTGCGTGAATTAAATTCCTAACAATTGGCATCAGAGCCCTAGGTTCGAAGGGAGATCTCACGATGGCAGACAATTTGAAGACACCGGTGATGCAGTTTGACGGAACGGATTACGGATTCTGGAAGTTGCAGATCGAATATTACCTGTGCGGTAAAGATCTGTATCAACCTCTGGATGATAAGTCGGAAGACATGAAGGAGAGCGATTGGAAGTTGCTGGACAGAAAAGCGATGAGCGTGGTTCGATTATCGTTGTCCAGAAACATCGCCCTACACACCGTCAAAGCAAAAATGACGAAGGAGATGTTGCAGATTTTTTCGGATATGTACGAGAAACCTTCCGCTGTGAACAAAGTTCATCTGATGAGGCGTCTTTTTAACCTGAAGATGTCAGAAGGTACGGAAGTGGTGGATCATCTCAACGAGTTCAATGTGATCACCACACAGTTGAGCGCGGTTGAGATAAAATTCGACGACGAAATTCATGCCCTTATTCTGCTGTCTTCTCTCCCAGAAAGCTGGAACGGAACAGTGACTGCAGTCAGCGCTTCGGCAGGGAAAGAGAAACTAAAATTCGATGAAGTCAGAAATCTTGTGGTCAGCGAAGAAATTCGCAGGAAGGAATTAGGCCTGGCTTCTGGATCGGCGTTGAGTACAGAGAACCGGGGCAGAACGAAGTCGAAGTCCAAGTCAAATCGGGATAGATCAAGATCCAAATCCAAGTCAAACAGCAAGGGCAAGAAGGACAGAAGTCAGATCAAGTGCTGGAATTGTGAGGAGTACGGACACTTCAAGAGCCAGTGCAAGGAGCAGATCAAGGATCAGAAGAAGAAGACATCTGCCAATGCAGCGGCAGAATCATCAGGTGATGATCTCCTGATCTTGAGCGTGAGCAGTCCGTTGGAGTCATGGGTTCTGGATTCTGGAGCCTCGTTCCATTCATGTGGTAATTCTGAAGTGATGGAATAGTATACTCGTGGCAATTTTGGAGAGGTGTATCTTGCTGATGATGAGCCTCTTAAAATTGTCGGGAAGGAGACAGTCCACATGAAGATTCCGAACGGACGCATGCTGAAATTGAATGGCGTCTGTAACACCCCCAAATTTCACTCCCAAAATAATACTTAAGAAATAATAAACTTTTATTAATTATTCAAAACTTTCAATTGTTTGCAGCGGAATTAAACACTAACAAGGAAAAGGGGCGTGTTACCGCCACACCCAGCCCTAACCCGACTGGATGCTACGGCTAACCACCATAAATGTATCTAAAGTAACTATTGAATTCAACATTTGAAATAATGAAGTCTAACAAAGTTTATTCTAAGTGAGACTACTCTAAAAGTCTTCTAGGAGCGCTCTCAATGCATCAATCTTCATAAACCACATCATCTGTAACATAAGAAAATAAAAGAAACAAATAACACAAAAATTAGCTTTTGAGCTAAGTAAGTCCCATCCAACCCCGTAAAATAATAGTTTTGTTGAAAAATAAGTATTTGTATAGTGTATACAAAAATGAGTTTCCAATAATTTCAAAAAAAGGTAATAATATCTCCAAAAGATTTTCTTCAATAGTTCTCGTAAGTAGTTCAAAGAATAACTCTCCAAGTACCAAAATATTTGATTTTTTCTCAAAATAGCTTTATAGCTAATTCTCCTAATCATTTAATTAGAAGGGCGGTGCTCAAGCATTATCTCGATTCTTGAGCCCAGTGATCCGTTGTTTTGTACGGTCACTCCGATCTACTCTCGGTACCTCATCTCCTCTAATAGAATCTAGACTTCTACCTTAAGTGTGCACACCCCCTAAAGGGATTCCAAGCCCTCCAAGTAGTATGAAGTCTAAGTAGTTCTGACGTCAATGTCTCCCTACTCAAAATGGGATATACTCCCTAAGTTCTAGGTTCAAAGACCCTTAAGAGAATAGGTACTACTACTACTACTGCTTTAATAAATGGGATCTAATGCCCAGTTGTTCGGGGTGGTTACCGAACCCTCCAAAAATTCATTAAATTTGCTTTACACCTCTCAATTCAAGTAGTAGTAGTCCTAACCCTCCCTCACCATTAACGGACGTGAAGGTGGCCCGACACCTACGGATTTCTCTCGTGGTGCCCCAATTATGAAAACAGTCTTTTATCTTGATTTTCCAAAAATTTCACATTTATGTCTCTTGGACAAAATTTTACCACAAGGATTATTATCCTTAAATTCATAACTTTATATTGTCCCAAAATATCTTACGTATACACATAATCAGATGTATCTCCAAAATCACAACAAATACAACTTGCTCACAAGTAATTCATCAATCAAAATATTCATAACATCACATAAATCAAATAAATAATTATTTATGAGGTAAAAACATAATTTTGGTTGCAATGTGACTTACCTCAAGTCGCGATGATTCGTAAACAAAGCTTCTACCTTGATCTTCCCAAAATCACCTTCTAAAAATATTAAAGTTCTAAAATTAATTTATATCTATTCGATTCCCTTTCTGATCTGAACCAATTATTATCCCATTTAAATTTTAATTACCACCCAATTCATTTTAACCCAATTCGAATTACTTCCATACAATAATCTTATTCGATCCAACTACAAACATCTCCAGTTACTTCCTTTCATTAAAATACATGGCCCAATTTATAAAGGCTAAAGGGTCAAATAGGTACATGAACTAACTTAAAGTGTTCAATTAGCCCCTTATATAGGAGGTTCTGCCCGGCCGTCGCCAATTGGGGCGTTTCCCGGTGGAATTTTTTAATGAAATTTTTTGAGCATCTTCTTCATTAAGTCTAGTTTATCCATACCAAATTTCAGCTAAAATTTCAACCGGGAAGGCAGTCAAATGATTTTTTGAAGATAACTGTGCAGGTAAACAATGCAGTACATTTTGGAAAATCATTTGACTGCCTTCCCGATTTAAGTTTTAGCTGAAATGTGATATGAGTAAACTAGACTTAATGAAGAAGATGCCCAAAAAATTTCATCAAAAAATTCCACCGAGAACCGCCCCAATTGGCGACGGCCGGGCAGAACCTCCTATATAAGGGGCTAATTGAACACTTTAAGTTAGTTCATGTACCTATTTGACCCTTTAGCCATTTATAAAAGAGTACGAGGCAAGCTTTACGTACTGTAGCCTTTGACCGTCATTTGCGTACTCTACTCCGGCGAAACAGAGAGTACAGCAGGGTCATCCCAGGTGCTCCCGCTCTCTTAAGCAGCGACGCTCTTCTACAATGGTGGCGGTGGTCTGGGTTTCTTCAACTCCGGCGCAGCGGCGTTGCTGGTTCAGTCTTTCGGTCTTCCCTCCCTGCGACGTAGATATATCAAAAACCTCTTATTCGTTTCCCGGCATGAACCAGTCCGGCGAGTCTGGCTCTGGCATAGCAGCTCTTCCGATGAAACAGACTGGTGATGTTCAGAGGAGACGGTTCAGTCCAGAGACAAAGACTCTGGCTGGCGTTCTTCGATCATCTTCCTTCTCACGATGACGGGCTTAAGGTTCTGGCCGAGGCAGCGGAAAGGTCGATATATGTATACGTAAGTGTGTGTGTGCAGTGGCGGAACCAGAAGAATATTTAAGGCGGGGCGGTTAAGAAATTCTTCAAAACTCAAAATACTGAAATTGTAAAAAAAGTATAAGAAAATATAAAATACATAACCCAACAATAATAGCATCTAAACTTTATTACCTTTGTCTCGTACTTTCAAAGGTTCACATTACAAAATGACACGATTATTTAAACAATATTGAAATAGGTTACTTCAAATATATTTTGACAAATATTTTGATTAACATATAAATGATTGAGTTATTGATGATAATTGTGATGTCATAAATATATTATTTTAATATTGATGATTAAATTGTTATTCAAGAGCGTTTAATTATTTCTCATTTAAACGCGAAGTCAAAAAGAAGGTGAAAACCTTTGAGTGAGACACAGGGAGTAATAATATTTAATAAAATTATAAAAATCATTAATAAAATTATGTACTAGGTAATATACTACACCACGCATGTCTGCATATAAGTTATTGGTCATTTTTACTAACTTAAGTTAATTTATACACGTACATAGTAGATAGAATAAATTATTGGTCAGTTTTTAAAGAATTTTAGAAAAACTTAAAAGTAAATAAATAAAAGGACAAAACTTTAGCCTAAAACTGTACGGAGTATATGAATGGCCTGCTAAACTACATAATTAAAAACAAGGATTACTAAAACAGCAAATAAAAAACAATTCAAGGATTACTACAGAGGAAGTGCAACCTTAAAAAAACTTCATAAAAAAAACACCTTAATCGCAACCCAAAATACAAATAATTCAAAATTAAATCACTAAAACAATAATAATACGAATAATTGTGGAATCATGATTTTCAGGAGTTGACCGTCCTGCACTGGAAATAAGTTGCATGGAATCTGCATGTGGTGGGGAACCTGTGTCTTCTGAATGCATGAGGTCCACACCATCATCAGCATGATGATCTTCTGCTCCTGCCAACCGGATCCACTCGGGAGTATGAAGAGAAATAATATCTCCTTCGTTGCCGTGCAGCCCAGCCGAATCAGCCACGTTGCATGGAGGATCAAGTGCAAACGGGAATTGGTTTTCAAAAAAATGAACATCGCGGGATATAAAATGCTTCTGGTTTTCAAGATCAAATACTTTCCACCCCTTTTGGGAATAAGAATACCCCAGAAAAACACACCTAACACCTCGAGGTGCAAATTTATCACCAAGTGTAATTTTAGCGTGGGCATAGCACAACAACTAAACACACGAAGATTTCCATAACACGGAATTTTGTTATGCAAAACCTCGTAAGGACTTTTGTGATGCAAAAGGCGACACGGTAACCTGTTAATCAAATACCCGGCAGCTAACACACATTCACCCCAAAATTGAATAGGTAAATTTGCATGAAAACGCAATGCCCTAGCAACTTCAAGAATGTGTCTGTGCTTTCGTTCAACTCGTCCGTTCTGCAGCGGTGTGTAAACACAACTAGTTTGAAAAATTATTCCTTGTTCGTTGAAATAATTTTTCATTGTAACAAACTCTTTTCCGTTATCACTTCGGACAACACGAACTTCCTTATTAAATTGCCTCTTAATCATAGCAAAAAAATGTTTCAAAATAGTCCCCACTTCTCCTTTGTTAGTCAACAAGTGCACCCATACAGCACGAGAATGATCGTCCACAATTGTTAAAAAATAACGTGCACCACAAGTAGAAGGACAACGATAAGGACCCCATACATCACAATGAATCAGTTCAAAATATTCAATAGCACGAGCTAAATTTAATTCAAGCACATCTCTAGTTTGTTTAGCACGTAAACATGCATCACATGCCTTATTTTCTGAACCCGAACTAAGAACATTATTAGTAAAACTGGAAACTTTACGCACTGCTGAAGCCGAAGGATGTCCCAAATGTGCATGCCATAAATCCATTAAGTCCACTATTCCCACTTGATGCGCACAAATTTCTTCCACACTGTGAAAATAGTAGACCCCCCCCTGCATCTTCTACCCACTCCAATCACTGTGAAAATTATATCGCATCTGGCATCATCAATTAATCATGCTAAGGAAATTAGATTACATCGTAAACCGGGTACAAACAATACATTTGTCAATTTAATATGAGAACTAAGGTGTATATGTCCCATATATGTGGCATGCGTTATTTCTCCATTAGGTAAGGTGACAGACAGTGGCGGCACACGTTCCTTGTGATTAAACACATTTTCTAGCCCAGTCATGTTATACGAGGCTCCTGAGTCAAGGAGCCACGCAGAATTAGTACCCATACCTGTCAATTTTTCATTGGGTGAAGTCACCTGAAAATTTTCCATTGCTTTTACGAGAACACGCCACTGCTCTTCGGTGAACATCGGCGGCACACGTGAGGCAGAAAAATCAACTTTGTCTTCCTTCGACTGCTTGACAGCTTCTTCTGGTCCGGATTGAATGGCATTTGCAACAGTTCTTCCACGTCCTCTCCCTGCCCCACGACCACGTCCCCCGTGTCCCCTTCCCGGGTTGTCAAACCACCACTCCGGATATTTCTCGGTTCGTTTGAAACAATGTTCGGTATCATGCCCGTTTTTCTTGCAATATCCACACACAAGCTTTTGTTCACCGTCTTGTATCGGTACACTCTGCCGTACCGCAAAGGCGGCAGCCTCCGGTTTTTCTTCTTTGCCACAAGTCATGTTGCGATGGCGTTCCTCTTGGACAATAACGTTATATAACTTAGTCAATGAAGGAAGTTCCTCTTGGCCAAGTATATTAGACCGCATGACTCCAAACATGTCAGTATCTAGGCCGAGTAAAAAGTCTTGGCACTTTTCTGTTTCAATTTGCTTGAGGAATTGTTTCTCTACCCCACACTTGCAGCCCTGGCACTCACATCATGGAATTATTCTGATCGCGTCATATTTCTCCCACAAATTTTCAGCCGTCCGAAGTACTCTGTAACCGCCGTCCCATTCTGTTTGCAGCTTCATATTAGATCTTTCAGTTCATAGGTTCGCATAGAGTCTCCTATGGCGAACCGAGCCTTGAGATCGTCCCACAGGTCACGAGCTTCGTCCATGTAGGCGACGTTCGTCCGCAACATCGAGTCAATCGACGTCATGATCCATCCAACTATCATGGAGTTCACCGTAATCCAGTCTTCCACGTCTTCAACTGGTTCGGTCGGTCGTTTAATTGATCCGTCTATGAATCCAACCTTACGTTTGGCACGTAAGGCGTTCTTCATTGAGATCGCCCATTCCCGATAGTTTCGTTCTCCTTTCATCGTCATTCCACAAACATTTAGACCTGGGAAATCTGAATTGGACAGGTAATACGGGGAAGTTGGGTCATTGATCTTCCGCCTTGGTTGATTTTCGTTTGTCATGGTCGTGTTTTGGAAGAAGAAGGTAGCGTGTAGTTTAGAGATGCTCTGATACCATATTAAACTACACGTATAGGAAAGGGGAATTCTTCTTCTTGCTATTGATCAAATGAAGAGTTACATATATATATACAGCTCGTAGTCAACTAAGGTTCCTATGTGTAAGGAAAGAAAATAAACTAAATAAATACATAAGTTATTTACTATAATTACATCAATCATGGACTAGACTTTTGCCGCAAGATATATTAACGGTCGTAGACTAGCCGGGCGTACAATACAAAAAGTAGAGAAAGAAAGACTTGGCGTAAGATCGTCCGTAAACCAGACTGACCTTGAAGAAAGATAGCCCCCGTATCTCGATAGCTACTCGAACGGGACTGGCCAACTCGCTCCCAGGATAATCCTACCTCTGTTTCAGTCCTTTAGCTTGCTTGACAGAAACACTTCGACCGTTGCCCAATTGCCAGTTAAAAGAGAAGAACCCACAATAGGAGAAGAATATAATACGTATAAATATACTTGATATATAATATCAGTATCGCTTCTCAATGATAATCAAAGAATTTGGAATAACTCTACTAAGTGGAATTCAAAGGAATATCCCACGTAGTATGGATGTATGTATATGGTATTCTCCAAGAGCAAGAATCATGGAGTGCTTCGGTATATTGAAAAAAAAAACTAATACTCCCTCCGTTCCGCTATGATTGTCCCATTTTACCATTTCAGTCCGTCCCACTAAGATTGTCTCATACCTTATTTGGTAAACTTTGTGTGGTTCTAAATCATTCCTACTTTATTCCTACTTTATCAATTCAATATAAACCACATAAACTCACTTTTATTGATAACTGTGCCACCTTCTCTTGTCCCAAACTTAGGGGGGCGGAGGTAGTACTACGAACGTGAGTGGAATGTAAATACTTGGAAATCAGAATATATGGATAGAGTATGGGTCACAAAGTTTAAAGGGAAAAGGGGCAAAAATGACCCTAAAGTTATGTTCTAGATGGAAATATGACTTCAACTTTTTTTGGGGTGAAATAAACTTAAAACTTATGTTTTTTGACGTTCTAGGCACCTCCACTAACGCCCCTGACGGTAGAGTATTAGCACAACTTAAGCCTCACTTATTACTCTCTCTAGTAACTTTTTATTAAATTACTACAAATTATAATTAAATTAGTTTATTTATTTAATTTAAAATTAATCAAGTCGTTACCAAAAAGCATGGAAAGAAAGACTGAAATATGTAATACTCGGTTCTTATTTAGTTACAACATAGGTGAGTTTTGCACTATTTACATGTTCTATTTTGATTACATTTTATTTATGAATGTATTACAAATTAAATTTTTGAAAAAATATTACGTAGTATTAAATTTCTCTCATTTTAAAATTTTAAAATCTAATCCATCCTAGACCAGACCAAATCAGACTAGACCAGACCAGTTCAGACCAGACCTGATTAGACTTGGGTAGTTATAAAAATACAAAGAGACCAGACATTATCAGCCCAGACCAGTTCAGACCAGATCAGACTAGTTCAGACTAGACTAGACCAGACCAGACCAGCAAATCCAAGTAAAAACATCCTAAATCAATCTCATACTTCTTCTTTATGCTCTCGCCGTAGCTAAGAAAATCAACATCAAAATTTGTTATAAACCCATGACGTGTGATGGTGAAACTTAAATTGCATATACTATTCAAATTGAAAAATAAACATAATTGAGATTTAAGAAGAAAATACAAATTGAAATAGAAACAGTATTGCACTTGTGACCTTTCCAACTTTTTAGTGTGTCAACTTTTTGTATCAAATGTAATTTATGATTTTGTGTACTGAATTGTGTAATAATCAGAACAAGTACGATTAGATTTACCTTTCTCGCTGGATTGGATAAAATTAGTATAGAGAACCATTTTAAATATTTCCATAATTTAGCAGATTGAGCTAATCTAGTGAGCTAGAATTTTAGAAATTTCAACGGATTTAACCCATTCAACCAATTTCAGTATTACTAAAGCTCATAAGCAAATGAGAGGAATTTAAAGCTCATAAACCAATTTCAACCATAAAGCTCATATTTCCAGAGGACTCCTAAAGCTCATTCAGTACAATCCAAATTGGCTAGTCGGGAGGAATTTCTTCTCATTTCAAGCAAATGAGAGGAATTTAATTAACAATATTTTTTAAATTTAATTTATAATATATAAATAAATAAAATATAGTCAAAGTAGAACATATGAATACTGTAAAAAAGTGCATTTAAAAGATAACGAAGGTAGTATGTGGACTTTTCATGTTAGAAGGGGCTGGAAAGTCCTGAAACCTTAAAACGTTCGTTCAAATAGAAAAGCAACAACAAAGGGTATAAACCTTTTGGCTTCTAGGACGCGGGAAGAAATGGAAGAAAACATGCGACTCATTTTTTATTTTGTTATATAAGCTTATTTACCTAGGTCAACACTCAACATGTACGGTTAAATTAATGGCACCGTTAGTGGAGGGGCATGAATTGTCAAAGAACTTGATTCTTGGAGCTATTTCACCCAAAAAAAGTTTAGGGTCTTATTTCCAATTGAAATAAAACATTAGGGTCATTTTTGCTCCTTTTCCCAAGTTTAAATGGCCCTATAGTATTGCCACGAGCCGAGCTAATCGGATCAAACCAACTAAGTATGACTTAGCACTTTTTAATTTCAAATTTTAAATTCAAAGTGCACTTTCATATACAACTTAGTCAACATGCAATATTACACAATTCAACTTTGGTAGGCTTTAATTTTATTAAAGATCATTCCAGAATTTTGTCCTCAAAAAATGAATGACCGGCTTTTGACTTGAAGTATGTGTATACTAGCACACCGGTTGGTTGGTCTCATCAAGTCACATTATATGATACTTGAACATTATTCCTTATCATATAAAAGTGTTATTTATTTTAAATATTGGACAATAAATTCATCAATTCAATACATCACTTTTGCAACTTTTACAACTATGAATTCTTGTCATCAAATAAAATCAATCCAAACATGTAAGTTGTTCACTAATGTATAATAACCCACCTTCAATTCATATATTATACATATTATCTTAGTATTAAAAAAAGAGAACTAAAGAAATAACATTTATATCACCATATATCCAACATATTCTTCAGTTTATCTTTGAGTATTTTATTTCCACTGCAATTTAAACACTTTCAAACTTGAATATTTTGGAAAAACTATCTTTATACTTGCTGTTTCTAGTAACTATTTTGGGGTAAAATTTTCAGTGTTACATAATATAATAAAGTAGATAAACTCAAAATTTGGACTACAAAAGAGGCCATGTATTTGTGACTTTTCAGTAGGTCTTGTGCAGTCATGCTACGTACGTCTTTTTACCCAATTGATCGAACAACAAACGTACATGCCATTGAGTCGACCATGTTATTTTTCTCTGTTCTTTTGGCTGTGTCAGGGCGCCTGCTTCCTGATCGATGGTTCAATTCGGACAAATTAATAAGACTGCAATGCATTGAAATCAGCATATGGATTTGGTGTATGAATAGCAAAGTCGTACACGCATGCACAGTGACTGCCCTCTACCTATAAGACTGTAGCACATGGGAATATATATGATGCTCATAAATACTCCCTGCATTATGGATCCGACTTGTGGGCTATCAAGAGCTTTGTGCTTAATAATTCCCTATGTCTAGTCACTGCCGCGACCAACAATGAGAATGAATGTTTTGGCAGGTTAGGAAAAGAACACATAACTGCCATCACTAATTACTTACACTCGGTAGATAGGGTGATACAAGGGGTAATATAAATTTGGATTTGAATCGTGATATTGCAATGAAAGGTAACTATCTAAAAACGTAAAGTCTTTGCAAGTTCTTAGAACACAGACCTAATCATTATCTGTCACTCTGGAATTAAAGTATACTTTACATTCTTCCATTTAATTGTCTGACCGGTGTTAGAGCCCCCAGGCAGGGGCACAGTCAGAGGTGAGAGTGGTCAGTCAATCCCTCTGAATGTTCAAGAGTGTAAAGATTTGAAATATCTTCGCTTTGATATATTATTGATCATGTAACTCATTACTAATAAAAGGTTATGACTATTGGAAAAATCAGCATTATCTTAATTTGAAGTGAGTAAAATTTGGTTCTTATATTTTTTACTCATTAGTTGATTGTTTACCATAAATGACATATATACATATAATACAATAATGAATATGATTCATTAAACTATCACTTATCTCAGCTACATATGCAACATTTAACTTAAGTATTGTTTAATAACGATTCACATACCACTATGGTACTATGTATAATAAAATTTCGACCTTCCTCATACGTTTTTCTGGCTCTGCCACTGCCCTCTGGGATAAAGTATCATCCTTTTTACTCATTCGTCTCTTAAACGTTTTACCAAGTCTGATTGACACATGAAATAATAGTAAGAATTGTGTGACTGAGATTTGTGTAGAGGAAAGATAAGTTACAGGTTAATTATTACTACCTCTGTCCCATTTATATTGGGACGGAAGAGGGTGGCACGATTGTTAAGAAAAGTAGGTTTGTGTAGTTGATATTAATTAATAAAGTAAGAATAAAGTAAGAATGATTTAGAGCCAGACAAACTTTGCCAAATATGGTATGTGACAATTTAAGTGGGACTTCCCAAAAAGATAAAACGGGACAATATAAATGAGACGGATGGAGTAAAAGAGAAGTTTTGAATTACAAAAAAAGTGACAAAATGATAAGGGTGATGTATCATATAGACCTACGGATAGGAGCAAGTATTGGCATGAATGCTGCCAGGTGTATACTACGTATTGTGTAGCTATCTGACAAGCACCAGAAATGCTAATTGTAGATGATCAATTGAATGAGGTAAGGTTGATGGGTTGTTGTCAATAAGCTTAGGCTTGCATGCCTAATTGGCCATTCCAAATAAAACCTTGATGTCTAGGTCCTTTCCGCCCACTTGGACTAGACCATCACAACTTTGACTTCTCTGATCATCACTTTGTGACCGACTACGGAGCTGGATTGTATCAAGGACGAGTCTTTGA